TCTGATCATGGCGATACGCTATTCAGTTTCCGAGGTTGTCAACTCTAGAAGGCTACTCATATTTCTCTTTTGGAGCTCCAAGTACATCTGAACTAATGAAGAGGCACAGTCTTTTGGTTAGAAGCTTTACATGTTATGGACTACAGCACGAGAGCTCCTTGTTGTTATGTGTCATCGAGTCAGAGCCAGCTCCTAGCTGACTCTCCAGTGGGTTTTCAGAGGATGTGAAACTCAAGGGAGGAGACTGCTCTTCTTTCCCCTGAAGGACATTCGAACCACTTACCTTTGGATTGGCAACATGTCTCTTTACCGATTAGACCGCCCAACCCTCTGGAGACCCTTATACTCAAAACTCATCCATTGCCTTTGAGTCATAATGGACTGACAGCTGACCCTCCAGTGGGTTTTCACAGGCTGTAAATTACATGATAGGTGACTGCCCATATTTCTCCACACAGAACAGCTGGTGGATTCAAACTGCATGCCTTTGGGTCAGCAGCACAACCAACTAAGCTACCAGTGTTGTCCTATTTCACAATAGGGATCATTTCTTTTTAGCTCTTTATGTTCATGTTTTGTTGTTGTTGTTGTTTTTTATAATTTTTAATTTTTTTTACAGAGGTTTTGGATTTCCATTCATTCATGTTTTTAACCCCTTCAGCATACATACATACACACAAATATCCCTTGTCCTTGAATTGACAGCAAGTTTAGAGACAGAGTAGAATTACTCCATAGAAGAGCCAAGTTTAGCAGGTGAGTACTTAACCACTGTGCTACCAAGGTGTTTAGTGTGCTTGTTCTGTTGGTGTCTGTGGATGTGTGTAACTAAGTTCAGCCACAATGTCATTTCCACTGAGAAAGCTGAGTATCTAACTGTCCTAGCCTATTTACCTACTGATCCAAATTCTACAGGCATTTCTTAAAACTGGACCAGTCTGAAATGCTCCAAGATATCTATTATAAAGTTTTCCCAAGGTGTCCCTAGTGAGGCTGGGAAGAAATATATTTGTATATGGGATCAAATATAACAACATGAGCTGACTGTAAAGCCTACTGTGGCAGCAGCAGTTATATTCAGAGTTGCCATAGCAGCCACCCACACTAAGACATACAGACACAGAATGGCGGTCAGGAAAGAGAGAAAAAGCAGTAAGCAGAGAAAAGAATCTATTGTTAACAAGACAGGAGTACCCATCAAAGTAATTACATGCAGAAATCCCGACTTTTAGTCTGAACTGATTTCTGCTAGAGTGTTTCTTAAATGTTTTTTCCTTTCTCTCTCTCTCTCTCAAAGATTCCCATCTGCACCCTCAGTTTTAACTTTTACAGGTTGTAGAGATTATGTGGGAAGAGGGAATCCAGCTCTCTGTGTGCTCATTAAGGCTATTAGGATGTGGTCTTTTCCTCTTTGGAACATTTGGAACCACTGCAGTCAGTAAATGGAGGCTTGTGGTGCAGTGTCAAGTTGTTCACCATAATGTCTGCAGTTCGAATCTACCAGTCACTCCACAGGAGAAAGTTTCCACAGGAGATGGTCTCAAAAGGAGCCAATCTTTCTCCACATAAGAAAGTCTCTTCCCCTAGATATTTACAACTTTGTAAATTGATGGAGAGTTTACTCTAAGTTGGAATGGATTTGACAGTAGTGGATAATAGAAGGAGGTGTAAGAGTGCACATGAGAGAACTGGGAATGGACAGAATTGCTCCTTTTCTCCAGTTCTCCCAAGCTTTCCACCTTGGACAGCATAACATTTTACCTCTTCCTATCATTTCTTTTACTGGAAAATACTTGTGCTTTCCTTCTCTGACAGGTTTCCACCATGCACAGGTTCTGCTTTCCCTAGATTTTACTGCAGTTGTATCTCTAAGTCTTTACTGCAAAGCGGAAGTTCCTTGGTGGCACAGATGGATAATGTGCTTACTGGCTAACAGAAAAGGTGGCCACTTGAGACCACTCAGAGACACTTAAGGAGAAAGCTGGAAGCTTATCTCTGAAAAGATAGCCATCAAAAATTCTACAGAGCACAGTCCCATTCTGACAACACATATGGGGTCAGCAGTGGTCAGAGTCAAGTCAACAAATAGCTAGAAGAATATCGCTTATAATTCAGAAGCTGCTAATACAATGTCTGCAGGCAGCCAGTAGACCAGGTATATATTTTGTCAAAATTCTTAAATTGTATAAAAGGAAATGCTTTCCTTCTTGACAACATCTTTGAAATCACTCTTTAAACGGAATTTAAAAAAAATAAAAGCCATTTGTGATCACTAAACCCTAGTTGTAGAGGTAAAAGTGATCAGCTCTTTGAGCTAAGTATTCAGGTAGCAAGTCCTTGGAGCAGAAATTAATCTGGACTTTGTTTCAAGTCACCGGCTGGAGAAAAAAGGTATATGCCAATAGGTTACCATGCACATCCAGATACAAACAGAAACATCAGACTTAGATATTTAGACTTAGGTTACGTTGTAATTTCCGATTCACTCTCTTTTTAAATCTTCATTTAAGGTTGAATGCTTAATATTCTGGCAGAAGTGAAACAACTTCTAACATACAAAAAAATGAATAAATGAATAAATTCATGGCTGAGTTAGTAGATTTCCTATTAGGCCTAGTGGTACCCCAGAATATGAAGACAGAAATAAAACTGAAGAAATCCTAAGTCGCTGTAAACTTTCATTAAAATTAATCTAAAAAAAGAAAAAGAGGTAAAACTGACGGGCTAAGCAAACCACAGTAAATTAAATAAATGACAATGGAAACACAGCATAAAGGTATGGAGGACGCTGTGCTCTGTAGCAAATCCTACAAAAGACCAAAGAGAGTAGAAGAGAAAATGAGTAGGAAAGGAGTTTATCCTTAATTCTATAAACATTCTTCTGAGGAAATTTTTTAAATGTAGACAGCAGGGAATAGTACAGCCTTATCATAAAAATTCTTCAAAAGTTAATGTATCTGCTCTCTTGGTCTCTAAGATTATTCTGCCATTGCAAAAGTTATATATTTCATTGCCTAGATTCGCCTTCTCTTTTAGTAATCTTTGTTCCCTATCTCAAGTAAAGATGTCACAGGACATAGCTAGGTATTTTTCTTTGCTTTTATTTATCAAGCTTGCATGTTCTCACTGGAAACACTACCCTCATAAAATAGTTATTTGAGGTAAAAATGAGCCTCAATTTTTCTAAGTATTACGAATTTGTTTTCAGGTTGACCCTGATTATTCACAAGTTTTTTTGCCCATGAGCTGAAATAAAATGAAACAGCTATTAGCACCACAGAACAGGAGAATCTTAAAAGCCATTCAAATTCTCTAGAATTCTTACTTGAGTTTATGGGAAGCTTACACTGCATACTTTAGGTCCCCACTCCACAACTCAATGATAAAGTTCTGGGATTGGAAGAAAAAAAAGTTGATGACAAAAGTTGAAATAAAGTTTCCTGCCAAGTTTGTCCTCCAGTTCTCCTATCAATCCTGTAATAGCTATGACCATTCTACCTCATGTTCCTATAACAACTGCATTCAGGACCTTATTCTTGCCTCCAAAGTTATAGCAATTACTCAACTTAGGAAAAACATAAGATAGAAGGCCATTTTGGATAGTTATATCTGAATGTAATTCTAATACATTTCTAAACTACACTTTCTTTATATTCTGGGGAGTCTCTGCATAGTATGAACAGTTGAACACTCAACCACTAAACCAAGAGCAGTGTGGCACTTTCATAGAAAGTTGGAAATAAAAGTACTATTTGATCCAGTAACTCCACCATTACGTATATACTACAAAGATATAAAAACTGTAATATAAACTGATATACAGACACGTTTATTTCAGCACTGTTTCTACTGGCAAAGGTTAGAAACAACCTAGTGCATATGGCTAAAGAAACTCTGGGACATTTGCAAAACTGAGCATTATGCACCATTAAAAATTATTGAAAATTTATTAAATACTGCGTAACACTGATGAAAATAGAAAAAAATTATGCCCAGTGGCATAAATCTGTCATGAATGGCACATATAAGACAACCAACATGCCCAACACATGTGAGATGAAACTTTATCATCTTTGCCTCCAAGGAACACTCTAACTGCACTTTCTTCAAGACATATGTTTGTTCTTTGGGCAGTCCATGAGATTCAGTAGTCTACTGCAATATCACAGCTAAAACACATTAATTCTTCTTCTGTCATCCTTCTTCATTGTGCAGCTTTCAGATGCACAACAAGTGATCAGAAAGACATGGCCTGAGTCGTAAGCAGAAGCTCCTTAGTCCTCAAACTGAAATCACTGTTGCTTAATAATTTGGAGAAGTCCCTGACTATAGACTCTCCCAGTATGTCTCCTTATTTCTTGACTAAAGGTACCAAGGGTGTTGACTGAGGATCCAAGTAAGATGAAACTGGGGACAACTTGAATCTTTTCTCCATGTATCCTCATGTTGACAGGATATCATGGGGTGCAGTACTATTCTACAACACATAAAATTAGTCAGTATTCCAGAGGAGTACATGGAGTTATTCCCATGACAACTGATTTTATTTTTTGGTTAAGAAATCATAATGCTATAGTTACAAAAAGCAAAAGAGCCTTCGAGGTAAAGAATGTCCTTTTCTCTATCTCCTCTAGGGAATATCAGAGTTTGAGGAGGCCTCTGAGAGGCCTGGGTAATTATCTTAATTGTTCTGGTACAAGTTCATGGGAAAGCTACAGGACAAATCTGTTTCCATTAAATCCTCTTTAATATAAAGACAAACATAGTCTCAAACAGAAACGCTAATGGCTATATTTTCTGTACAACCAACTACCCACACAATCTCATGAGAGTCAAACGACTTAATTTGATTCACAGTACAAACATTTCTTATTAATAACAGATTAAATGGCCTACAGAAAGTTGTGTGATTGTCATTCTTGCAAGGAAAAAGAAATAACTTCTACATTTGATAAAAGAACAAAAACACAAAACAAGGCTATTTAATAATCCTTACTTACTGCCAGGTACATAGCTGCATAGACACTGAGGGCCGCTTCTTTGGATGGAAACGTTTTCCTTGCCCTCATGATGAGGTCTGGGTTGCCGGTACAGGCCTCCTCTCCACTGATGAACTGTGTATACTGCTGGCATCCCAGCGCCGTATAGTTGGGTTTACACAGGGCAAGAAAATGTGGAGCCAGATTCCCTGTAACTACTTGTCCAGCATTTACAAAGATATCTGTAGCAAATAATCCAAACGTGTAAATTCCTGAGGAAGAAAACAAATAATTTTAACAGTATGTTTTATTTCCATTTACATTAAAGCAATGTGGAACTATTTTACAAAGGATAAAACATTTCTTACACATATATGTGGCTCCTTTTAAAAAAATGTTTACAAATTCAGAGTTACTGGTATTTTATGGTAGGATCATTAGCTTTTTATTTCTGTGATTTGAGTGAAAATTCACAAAGTTTACTGATTTTTCACTCACTCACTCAAGCCTGGAACAATGTGTATTACAACATTAAAGACAATACAATGTCTGGATATCCACTTATTTTCTGTATTGCCTTCTAAGTCACTTCTCCCCAGTTCCCTCCTCAGTCTTTCAGAAGAATGAGAGCATTATTTAATATAGTTAAGTTTTCCACCAGTGGCTACATTTTTATGCATGATAGATTTACAACATAAAAGAAGAAAATATATCCTAAGACAGTGTTTGGAGAATCTGATTTGTCAGATGGAAGCATTTTTTCTCTGAGAGGGCACCATCTACAATATCCTATTCATGTAAGCGGTGTTTATGCATTTCCCTACTTTTTTGAAAATAATTTTTCTATCTAACTAACAGAAACCAAAACAGTTATTTCCCTTCTCTTTGCATCTCTTATGCACCACTAATACTAACTCTTCTGGAGGTAGAAATTTAGCAGTAAAATTCAATGTATAATTTTTCATTTAAATATAGAAAACATGAATTGAAGCAGAATATATCAGATCAATACTCATATTGCCTTTAGAACACATATTTTAAAAAATTAAAGTTACATTTTGGGTAGTAATTTAGTCTCATGTCATCTTTTAAAATATGGCCCATATTCAGATACTTTCTCAAAATTAGAGCAATTTTGAAAACAGTAAGGCTATAAAAATGATAAAACTTCAATTATTTCACAGTGTTAAGTGCATATGGTTTGGTCACTTTAAGGGATTAAAGAATATGTTTATTTTCACCTCTGTAAAGAACTTGCCAATTTACTAGAATAATAAGAACATATTAATGACATTCATCATTATTGTCAAAATTCTTTTCCTATTTAAGTAGTCAAAATAAAAATTTTGGGCATAATTTTCAACTGAACTTGCAGATATAACCTTCAAGGCTATGGTAGCAGTGTAAAGGAACACCCACGTTAGTAATTTTGTGAAATAAAATCCATCAAGACCTTTAAAAACTAAGCCAAAATGCTATTACTGAAAATAAGTGATTACTTAAATTATTATGTGGTTCTACTCTAATGAGATCTTTTTCTTCTTAGCCAGATGTTTTTGGATGATTTGCTTCCTAAGCCTATATAGCACTGCTGACTATAACAGAAATTGTCTGGAAAGTTGTGAAGGTTTGGATAATCTTCCTGAATTACTGAATTACATGGCAATCCTTTTAATTTTCAGAATATTATTTAAGATTTTTAAAGGTTCATACACACACACCCACAAAGCAAAACTCTATCCAAATAGTCATAAACAGAGGCACCATTGTTGTTGTTAAGTGTCACTGAATTGAGTATGACTCATAACAGTCCTATTAACAGCTATTCTGAAAGTGGTCCTATTTCGTGCCACCCTCATCATCTCTGACACACTAAAGTCCACTGCTGATGTCACAATGTCAATCTATCTAGTTGAGGGTTTTTCCTCTCCTTCGCTGACCCTTTATCTTTACGAGCCTGATGCTTCTTTCCAAGAAATAACACTGCTTAGCTACATGTCCAAAGTAAGAAAGACAAAGCTTCATAATCCTTGCCTTCAAGGAGCACTCTGGCTGAACCCTTTCCAAGACATATCCTTTTGTTTTTTAGGCATTCCATGGGATATTCAATATTCTTCTCCAGCACTGCAACTGAAACCCATTAACTTTTATTGTTATGCTTATTCACTGTCCAACTCTCAGATGCACAGTAAGTGATTAGAAAACTATAGTCGGAATCAGGCACACTTTAGTCTTCAAACTAACATCATTGCTCTTCTATGTTTTGGAGAGGTCCCTGAGAGCAGACTTGAACAATGCAATAACTCTCCTTATTTCCTGACTTCTAGTATCAAGGGTGTTGACTGTTGATCCAAGCAAGATTAAATCATTGACAGCTTCAATCTTTTCTCCATATATCATAATGCCAACTGCTGGGCCAGCGCTGAGAATCTTTGTCTTCTTAACATTGAGATATAATCCATTCCAAAGGCTGTGGTCCTTGATCTCTGCAGCAGCACTTCATATGCTCCTCACCTTCAGCAAGCAAAGTTGTATCATCAGCATAATGCAGGTTGTTGATAGATCTTCCTCCAATCTTGATACCACATTCCTGTTTACACAGTCCATCTTATTATTTGCTCAGCACACAGACCTAATAGGTACCGGGAAAGGATACTGGATTCACACCTTTCCTGATCTTAAACTATGCACTGTTCCCTTGCTCTCTTTGCACAAGTTTCTTGGTCTTTGTATAGATTCCCTATGAGCCAAATTAAGTGTTCTGAGATTTTCATTCTTCTCAATGAAAGCCATCATTTGTTATAATCTACAGTCAAATGCCTGTGCACAGTCAATAAAGCACAAACATGTATTCTTCTGATACTCTCTGCTTTCAGAATCCATCTGACACCAACAATGTTATCTCTTATGCTGTGGCCTCTCCTAAAACTGGCTTGTATTTCTGGTAGCTCCTTGACAATGTACTGTTCTAGTCACTTTTTTGTTTGTTTGGTTTTGGTTTTTATCCTCATTCTTTTTATTATTATTATTACACTGGTTTATCTACAAATGTTGTATACATTGCCCCTCACACTGGATCCACCCACCTCCCCAACCCACCCACCTCCACCCATCAAACCGTGAGACCCCATGATCTTCAAGAGTATTTTGTTTTCATGAGATATTAGTGATATGTTCAATAGTTTCCACAATCTTTTGTATCATCTTTATTGGGAATGGGGACAAAATGGGCCGCCTTCCAGACAGTCAGCCAAGTAGCTGTGGTCCAAACTTCCTTATATAAACTGGTGGGCACATCCAGGGTTGCATCTGTTACTTTAACATGTTAATTGGTATCCCATCCACCCTTGAGGCCTTATTTTTTGCCAATGCCTTCAGTGCTGCTTGAACTTCATCTTTCATCACCATTGGATCTTGTTCATAAGGTGGTTCCTGAAATTTTTCTCTGTCAACCAATTCTTTTTGGAACAGTGATTCTGAATATTCTGTCATCTTTTGATGGTTCCTCGATCTTTCAAGATTATGCCCATAGCATCTTTCACTCGAGGCTTGAATTTGTTCTTCACTTCCTTCAGCTTGAGAAATGGCAAGCAAGTTCTATGTTTATTTTCTCACTCCAGCTCTTTGCACATTTCGTCATCATAATTTGCTTTGTCCTCTCAAGCTGCCTTTTGAGCCTTTCTGTTCACCTCTTTTACTTCGACATCTCTTCCTTTTGTTTTAGTTTTCGACACTTTAACAGAATTTTCAAAGTCTCTTTTAATATCCATTTTGGATTTTTTTTTTCTTCCTCCCTCTTTGTAATGATCTTTTGCTGTCCTCATGGATGCTATCCTTGATATCCTCCCACAGTTCCTCTGGTCTTCAATCCTTGGTATTCAATGTCTCAAACCTGTTCTTCAGGTGATTCTTAAATTCAACTGGGATAAGCTCAAGGTCACAGTTAGACTCTGATGGAGTAGTTTTCCTTTTCCTCAGCTTCAATTTAAACTTGGATGTGAGTAATTGACTGTTCCCAAATCGGTGCCTGGTCTGGTTTTAACTGCAACTTGATCAATCTCCAGCCTCATTTCTATCACCAAGTCCATACTTTTCTACTACTAGTCCTTCCTCATTTTTCCCAACTTTTGCATCCAAACCTCCAATAATTATTAATGCATTCTGATTGCAAGTTTGGTCTATTTTGGATTGCAAAAGTTGCTAGGAACTCTCAATCTTCTCCTCTTTGGCTCTAGTTGTTGGTGCATATATTTGAATAACAGTCAATTAAGAGGTCTACCTAGTATGCGTATGATAGTATCCTATCACTCTCAGAATGGATCTTGACATTTTCTTTCTAACTATGAAAGTAACATCATTATTCTGCAGTTTTCATTCCCAGCATAGCAGATCATGCTATTTTCTGATACAAAGTGGCCCATGTTTATCCGTCTCAGTTCACTGATGTCTAGAATGTCAATCTTCATACATTCCATTTCATTTTTTACAACTCCCATTTTTTCTACATTCATATTCATATATTCCATGTTGTAATTAATGCCTATTTGCAGCTGTTTGTCTTCATTTAGACTGACTTCCTATCTGGGCTCTATGTCTAATACTGTAACTACTCTCATTTCTTGGTTCATAGAGTTTTTGAAGGCCTGTTTTTTTTCGAGGAAGTAGATCATCAAACCTTCTTTCTAGTGTTTCTTAATCCTAAATGAAACTACAAAAAGTTCTTTCTGCCCATCTATCTCTGGTTAACTGATTTTTGACAAGGAGGTGAAATCAGTTAAGTGGGGAAACGACAGCCTTTTTAACAAATGGTGTTGTCAAAACTGGAAAAGTATCTGCAAAAGACTCAAGCAAGATCCACACCTCACGCCATATAAAAAACCAACTCGAGGTGGATCATGGACCTAGGACTAAAACCAAGGACTATAAACTTCACTGAAGAAAAGCTAGGAACAATGCTAGAAGTCCTGATCCACAACATAAACAGTCTTCCAAGCATCCTGAAAAACCTACAACCAGAAGTAAATAAAGTAGATTAATGGGATATTCAAAGAATCAAATCCCTATGCACATCCAAAACCTTCTACAACAGGGTAAAAAGAGGAAGCCACAGACTGGGAAAAAGTATTTGGTAATGACATATCAGATAAGGGACATTTTTCCAAAATTTATAAAATACTTGAGCACCACAACAAGATAAAGGTAAATAATCCAATAGAAAAATGGGCACAGGATATGAATAGACACTTCACCAGAGAACAGAGAAGACACTGAGATGGCTAACAAGCACATGAAGAAACGTTCAAAATCCATAGCTCTAAGAGAGGTGCAAATTAAAACAACTATGAGATATCATCTCACCCCAGTCAGAATAGCAAAATTTAACAGAACTGCAAGCAACAAAAGCTGGCGAGGTTGTGGAGAGACTGGAAGCCTTATTCACTGTTGGTGGGAGTGTAAAATGGTGCAACCACTGTGGAAAGCGGTATGGCGTTTTCTCAAAAAGTTGCAAACAGAGACACCATTTGACCCAGCAATTCCACTACTGGGAATATACCCCGAAGAGACCATAGCTGACATCCAAGCAGATATATGCACACCCATTTTTATCACAGCTTTGTTCACAATAGCAAGAAGTTAGAAACAACCTAAGTGCCCATCAACAAATGAATGCATAGAGAAGCTGTGGTGTATTCACACTGGAATACTATGCTGCATTGAAAAACAAGGACCTTGTGCAATATATTATTCAAAATGGGTGACCCAGGAGGACATTATGCTGAGTGAAGTATCTCAGTCACAAAAGGACAAATACTGTATGGTGCCACTGTTGTAAAACAGGACCGACCTTGGGGTTGGGGAGAGACTGAGAAAGATGGGTTCAATAATGTATACTGCATTGAAACAGATGAAGGAGAAAACTGTTTAAAAGAGATGTGATTAGGTATTTTTGTCATGACAGGAGTCTAGAGCAAAGGCTACATGGTGGAGTGGACCTGGGGGAGGGTTTGTAAAACGATGAAAGAATTTTTCTTTTACTTTTCCAAGAGGACAGTGTACTAGGGGAGAAGTTTGGGAGGGGAGAAATGTGCAACAATGAATGAATGGAAATCCAAAGTCTCTGTAAATTTTTACTGAAATTAATAATAAATTTAAATTTAAAAAAAGTTCATCCTTTATTTTTTATAGTCCATGAGTTATTCAAATGACTGCAAGGAAATGGTTAGGAAAATCAGAAAAATATGGAAGAACTAAGTTTAGTAAAATGCCAATGTGCATAACCCCTCTTTCTAAAATATCATGGTCAAACATGGAAACCTAAATTGCACGTTTTCTTCAATTGCACTTCCTTGAAATCTAGGCTAAGATGTACTCATTTTGTTTAACTAAGCCATTCCTTTCATCTTGTGTAATAGATTCTCCTGTTTAAAATAAGAGTGAAATATCTGATAAAGATAATGAAATGTCTCTTGATACCTGTGAACATCCCAATGTGCTTTAGAGTTAAAATCTCAGTGCATCAGGTCCAAGGCCAACATTTTAGTTGACTACAAAGATAATAAAATGAGATCCCATGTGTGAATCTCCCCTGCTGACTTCAAGAAAAAAGTTCCTATAGTGATGTTTCTATTATGCAGTTAGGCTTCACTTTCAAAGCAATTATTTTATTATAACCAACTAGAAATGCACAAGTCATGATATAAAAAGTTATAAGAAACAAATCAAGCACTTTTGAATGTTACACAAAATCATACAGTAAATATACAGAAACATGCAACCACATAAAATATGTTTTGTTTATGCCATTTATTCTATACAAGACTGTGCAAGAAAGAAAATATTTTAAATATAAAATATGATTTATTTATCTGGATCTAGTATTCAATTTAATAAAATACTTCTGGTTCTTAGTATATTATTAATTTTTTTTCTCGTTTTATAATTAATGTAGGGCAAAGACTACAGGAAGATCTTCCGTTAGCTGGTCTAACACCGTGACTATCACAATGGGCTTAAGCATGACAGAGATGATGAGGATGGCACAGGGTAAGGCAAGATTCAGATCTGTTGTTCACAGGTTTGCTATGAGTTCTAGTCAACTTGATGGCATCTGACAACAACAAGTGCAAAGACAAGGAACCCTGGTGACATCGTGACTAATGCTTAGCTGGTAACTGAATCCACTAGCCAAGTTTGTGAGAGAAAGATGAGGAAGTCTGTTTTGGTTACGTTTTATATCATTAGAGACCCTATGTGTAAGTTCTACTCTGTCCTATATGGTTACTCTAAGTTGCAATTGACTAGAGGGCATGGGCTGGTGCAAAGAGAAATGAGTCAAGATGTAGTATTGATGTATGGTTTTTTAAAGGTCTCATCTATTCTTTTAATAGGACAGAGAGAGTCTGGAACTGTGTGGTGTGATGGTCTTATCTTTGGATAAGAAAACTATACAGGCTTGAGATAAATCTATTTAAATGCTCATTAGGTCATCTATGCCTATAGGGAGATTTGATGGCCTAGTGGGTAGACAGTTGTGCTCTCAAACAAGGGTGAACAGTCCTAACCTACCAAGCTGCTCTGCAGGAGCAAGATGGGCAATTTGCTCCCATGTGAGTTACACAGCCTCTTAAAGGCCACTAGTGGGCCAGCTTTCAGTCAGTTCTGATTCCATGGCAAAGGCATGGGTTTTAATACCCAATATTTCCATCTTGTGAAAAACTTATTAAAGGATCCAAACTATGGTATTTTCAGTTGCTTCTTATTCATCTGAAAGTTCAACTAATTTATAAGGATGCTAAAGAAGAACCAATCCCTTTGAATGGAGGTGTTGTCAAAGAATACTAAACAGCCTATGGGCTGCCAAAAGAATGAACAAGTCTGTCTTGGAGGAAGTACAATCAGGGCAAGGATGGTGAAATTTTGTCTCACATATTTGGACATATTGTCAGAAGGGATCAGTAGTTAGAAAAAGACAACATGCTCTTTTGGAGTTCAGGGAAAGAAAGACCTTCAACAAGATGGGTTAACACAGTGACTGTAACAATGGACTTGGGCATATCAGAGATCATGAAAATGGAGCAGGAATAGAACAAAGTTCAGATCAGCCGAGCAAAGGCTCTCTGTGAGTGGTAGTCACCCTAACAACAACAACTGAAGGATTACAGTATTCTTATTGCATTTCTTAGTCACTGATGAGGACTCATCTCTACTGTGATTTGTAATGTACAACTTGTATGTATTTGAAAAATCCAGGATATACAAATTTACGTTAAATTATACTATGTAATTAAAAAAAAACCAAAGAACGCCCGCCTGTCTTGATCAAATTTCTATTGAATTGGGATGATTTTCTGTACTTCAACAGTGTTATTTATTAGTGCTATAATAAGTGTTTGAAAGAGAAAGTATCAGTGACTCTTGTCTTCTAATAAAATCACCAAAGCATTTTTTTATGTAGCTATAAAACAGCTCAGAAGCAGTGTAAGGGGTGCTAACAGATGGTTATTTTTTTATTATAGAATTTTTCTATCACCCAAGGTTTTTCCCTTGCTCTTCACAGTGTTCAGTATCCTACCTAAAAATCTCATTATTTACCAAACAATGTTTCTGAAATTTCACAAGCCCAGAAACTATTTTAACTTTTTGATTTTAAAATATATGTACTTTTTTCTTCACAAAATAAGGTGGAAATGACATCCACCAGTTAAGGGCCAAAGAGGGACAGGTATCTTACAAGACCAAACAGTATGAAATACCTCTTTTGAAACTAATTTGGAATATTCAAAGGAAATCTAATATTTGCATTCCTTAAAATGCTGGTCATTGTAAAGGTTATCTCATACATAACAGTTTTTTCAACAAAAATAAAAGTTTTTTAATGAATACTTACCAAGAAATCGGACAGTTCGACGCACCAGTGGATTTATATAGCAACAGTCTCCAGTCAAAATAGTCTTTTCCTGGTTTTCAAAATCTCTTGTAGCTAGTTGTAGGCAAAACACAGCAGTTTCTCCAACTATTATCTTGCAAGAAAATATGACAATAGAGAGTATTAGAATTTAATATAGAAGAAATAATGTGGAATAATAATATAAAATAAATTTGAATAGATGTATTTTTTCTTTTCAAAAGATCCTCCAAAATTAGCTAATCTCAATGGTACCTATTCCAAGGGAATGCCAAGTCATATTTACTTCATCAGATCTTTTTGATGATAACCTTGTTCCCATATTTCTGTCAATTCAAAAGACTACTGGTAAATTATGAATAAAATAGATTACAATTTTTTTTAATTTCTAAAAGTTTTCATTGGAAAAGAAAAACATGCAAAAAAGAAGTTTTTAAAAAAATTTTTGATATATAACTGAATTCCAGGTTTTATTTTTGTAATGTTCACTTTCACCCTGCCATAGAAAATAAAACATTCTCTAGGCAAATATCTTTTGAAGGATCTAGTGCTGAAAGGATACGTTTAAATTATATTAGTACTTTCATAATTAAAAAAAGTCAGTTCACAATTGTTTCGTCTGGAGATTGTCCTTTGTCAATATTTCATTATTCTGTTCTGAGATACTACTAAGAATTCCAGTCATTAATACATTCTTTATGTTTTAATATACACATGTCATTTTAGCTTCATAAAAAAGATATTAAATGGGGATTATTATTGTAATATTTTACAAGTGAAGGAACCCAACTGAATTTTCCAAAGCCACCAAGCAGTAAGAAAAAAACCAGGAGCTGGCCCACAGTCTTTACTCAGCTGACTCGTTAAAAGCCCCACCCAGCTACCTCCCACTAGGATATCAATTGAGATGGTTTTCATAGTGTTCTCAAATGACCCACCAAAGGTTTTATTATTCTATTTTACAGTTGAGGAAATGGAGAAATACCTATTTGCTCCCCAACAAACCAGTCACAAACCAAGCCAGCATTTCTGACTCACCCTTAGATTTTTTCAACTCCTTTAAATACCCAGAACAACAGCACTAGAAATAAGGTTAAAAGAAAAGGAATAAAAGTCAAAAGTACATCTCTTTACTGTTGTCTGTTTTTTGGGTTTTGTTTTTTTTTTTTGTAACCTATCTTGTCAAGGCTGATTAACACGCTATACAGGGAGTCCTTGACATCCTCAAGGAAATTTTCTTGGGTCTCTGTGACAAGTCGTACCTATGATTACAAGATATTCAAAACAGCAAGTGGAAGGTGGAGAGAGAGTTCACAGTGAAGTAGGTGTTTGACCCACTTTTTATCCCAGTGTGATAACGTGACTATGAAGCATTTCTTAATGTTAATCCTTCCCCTCCTTTCTTACTATACATCTTCTTCCAATTAGGTTAGGGATCAATGTTGAACCAGAAAATGCAGGACCAAAGTGCATTAAAGAAGTCTGATCTTGCCAATCCGGTAAGACTGGATTGAATTAGAGAAGACTAGAGCTTTCAGTTTTCAAAGTCCTCCTGGAATGATAACTTTGGCATTAGCAAATTAGAGTAGGTAAGTGATGATTCAGTGCATTCAGCCTTAGAAGGCACAGTAAGTATTTTTCATTGCTATGTCAGCTGTCACCAGGGCTCTGGAAGAAACTGAAAAATTGGCAAGCAGTAATTTTTAACAACTTCTCATTTCCCTTCCTGAATAACTTTCACTTTTTTACCTATTTCCCCCTTTCCCTTCAAAAGAAATTACCCCCATGAGGTACTCTGTTTTCAATTTCAACTTCTAGGTCTATTAAGCCTTAGAATGTTCCAAATTCCATTATCCATTACACATTATGAGCTAACTAGTCTGCCACCTGACTCCTCCTGTCTTGACTTCTTCCCAGGAACTGCAAATGGTTCTTCTTCCTAAAAAGAAAGCCTGGCAGCCTACTGGGTAAATAGTTGCACCGAAAACCCAAAGACAGGTGATTCAAATCTACTAGCTGCTTCATGAAAGAAGGATGCGGTATCTCCAGTGCATTTACAGCCTGTGAAAACCCTCAGGTGAGTCAGTTATAAGTTGGATCCAACTAATATGCAATGAGTTGATTTGAGTCTTTTCCCTGAGGCTGGTCTACTCCATAACACAGTCAGCCCTCACTCAGTCTATTGACACACTAAAGCCCCTAGAATATAGCAGAGACACATTATTTTGTTGACTGCTTAAATGAATCCTATTACCAATGGGAATTTAAGAGCTGTTATCTCAAAAGATTTCACCTTACTTGGATCTAACATCACTTGCTTTGTGGATACACAACCAACAAAGATATCCACAATCCCTTGGTAGTAGCAGTCAGGAGACCAGGAGGTATACTGCATTAGAAAAGTCTACTGTCAAGGACCTCTCCAAAGTCCTTAAGAGAATAACATCATTCTAACACACGTGGAAAAAAAGGGGGGGGGGGGAAGAGAGAGAGAGAATGATATCAGTGTATAGACTAAGATACGCCTGATTCAAGCCATGATCTTTACAATGAGTCATACTCAACTTGATGGCACTTAACAACAATAAACTGAGTCTGGCATTTTGCTTAACTTGTAATAATTAGCTTATTTTGCTGTGTTCTTTTGTCAAAGCTGCTACATGGTACCCTGGTCATAAACTGGAAAATTATGCTTAGATCCTGAGTTTATAACTTTTATAATTATCAGGTACAAGCCTAAGAAACACCTTATTCAGGTCACTTATTCTAGAGTTTGAACTGTAGTTTACATCATACTTAATCTCTTGCTTACCTGTATCTCTGGACATTTCTCAACTGTATTTTTTTCTGTTTCTAACCTGAGCTTATCTGCTAAAACACTATCTTTTTGTTGTTGTTGTTGTTGTTGTTGTTGTTATGTGCTGTTGAGTCGCTTGAGACTCATAGCAACCCTATGTACAACAGCCCTAAACTCCGCTCTGTCCTGTGCCAATCGCACTGTCTCTGACACTCCCATCCCAATTATCCCAGTCACTGAATCAATCCACCTCATAGAGGTGTCACTGACACTGACACTATCTTTTTACATTTTTAAAATTTTATATCAGTTTGCTTAGAAAGTTTGTGTACATTGTGTTTTACACTAGTTTTCACTCACACTGTGTTTCATACAATCATTCCTGTGTATTTTTTTTTTTATAAAATTAATCACCATTGAATCTTGACCATCATCACGCTGTCTTTTTAGGTCCCTGCCAACAATGTGGTTTCACCATTACCCATCCTCACTCCTCTGCTCCCACTCTTTCCCCCCTTGGGTCCCGATATATGTTTTACTAGTTATCCTTCTATTTTTACAATAATGATCTTGAACACTATCTTAACAAACATTTTTCTGTTACCACTAAAGAAAGCAACACAAATTAGATGAAGCAAAATACAGAATTTGATGGTTCATCTCAGAATGAGATGGGCAGGGATTCTTGAACTATGTCCAGGAATAGAAAGTCTTTAGTAGACCAGGTAACAACTCTCTCATTCTCATTATCTCACTTTCTCTAGAGTCCCACTGTCTTATCTTGGTTCCTGTGTATTTAACTTCTTCTTCTCTCTATATATGCTAGTTCTATGCTAGTTCTATCTGCTGCCTAGCATATGAGATTGCTCCAACTGTCTCTAGGAGACTTGACTCCTCAGTAAATATTAGCTCAGTTTAAGAATACAATTCAACCCACTAGACTTACTAAAGTCTAATTCCAAATTCCCAAGAGTTTCATCTAAGAATAGATGTAATCCTAGTCCAAATAACCAAGGTTAACATGCCAGCACCATGGTATATGAGAACTATTTCTGTGGGCAGGAAGAGGGTTCTCAGGAAAAGGGCTTGCTATAACCTTCTCCAACCTTAGTGACAATTCTTCCTAAGAGTAATTTGAGTTGTGTAGACTTTCACATAAAACACAATTAAATATTATTTAAATATAAAACACAGCATCTTGCAAGACACACTCTTTTCACAAGAAACACTCATCAGGGGACCTTACAATCACTCTGTTGCAAGATGCCATGGCCTATGTGGCATGGGTAGTCTGGGAGTGTCTTCCAACCAACTCTTACCCAATGTCTGCTAAAGGCTGCAGCCCAGCCCAGGTGGGCTCACACCATGGCCTTCAACAGAACCACTGCCTGACAGGTTGAGGGGCAGCTTCAGTGGCTCAGATTAAATCTCCCAAAGAATTAGACCTCTCCCACCACCACCTAGAAACCCCACTACCCCTCCAACTGGAGACCGCCCTTACTGTCCTGCCCCAGGTATTTTTGCTTTAAACACTGCTATCTAGTTATGTCAGCAGATTTCTTTAACTCAAGCAAAAGAGGCTAGTAGAAGCCACAATTTCAGGAGGGCAACTGTCACCGTGCTCTGGGTAAACTGTTGTTCCCAATGGGGAAAATGAATATACAGGTCCTTCACAAAACACTGCCATGCCCTGGGTCATTACATAGTTACAGCAACCTCACGTCTACTAAGAAAAGACTCATATGTCAAGAAAGCAGCAGACTGCATCAGGCATCATGAAAAAAACAAAATAAACCTCTTAAAAAACAGACCTAATGAATACACCAGTTAGAGAAAATCAGAAGACATATGTTGATATGGAGATATTTGAACAGCTACAGAAGAAGCAAAATGGTGAAAGAAACAAATGGAAGTCACTAAAAGAGCAAATACCCCGGAGATAGCAAACCAGAAAAAAAAATATTGATAAGGAATAACTTGAACAATTATGTAAGAAAATACAAAAAAATGTAAGAATTGATATTATAGATAAAGAGATACAAGAACTTTAAAAAATCATCACAATACAGAGATTGTACAGCCAATGCAGTACTAGAAATAACAGAAAATTAAAAAAATGAAATCAAGAATAATAAGATGGAAATCGAAGAAATGTCCAACACGCAGGTGGGACAAAAAGAAGTAACGCTGAAGAGATAGAACAGAGAGTCAGTGAGCTGAAGACAAGAGCCTCACTGGAAACATACTACAAGAAAAATCAGATATGAGACATAAAGAAAATAAAACATTAGAATCATGTGGGAGGACATAAAAAAACA